ATGCGGTGGCACAGGACAGCCCCGACCCCCCAAGGGGACGCGTCGCACTGAAGTATGAGTGGCTTGTTAGAGTCATAATGGGCTAACGTTGGTGGCGAAGCAAGAGCTTGTTTTGCTTTATTGAAGGCATTTTTTGACGGGAACCCCAACACCACGATGCATTTTTGTGTAACAGCTCATTTAATGGCGATAGAACCGTCGATGCATTAGGCAGGAAACGGCGATAGTGAGATGGCATTCCTAAGAACGAACGGAGTTCATCACAACTCTTTGGCTCTCGGCTTTCTAAAATAAGTTTAACCTTGTCATTTAAAACATGTAAACCGTGTTTATCAAACCGGTATCCAAGGTAACAAAAGGAAGGTGAAAGGAACTCACATTTAGACCTTTTCAATCTGAATCTACTTCGCTCCAAACGCTCGAGTACGACCGCGAGTGTTCGAAGATGCCCTGTATCCGAGCGTCCAGAGATAACAATATCATCCAGATAAGCACACGCAAAAGGAATGTCCTTCACTAGGTCGTCAATAATTCTCTAAAATATTCCGGGGGCGGAATTAATGCCAAAAGGTAAACGAGTATATTGAAATAGTCCCATGTGCGTGGTGATGGTAGTAAGTTTCCTCGAAGGTTCATCGAGCTCTATCTGCGAGTATGCCTGACTCAGATCGAGTTTGGTAAACTTTTCACCACCAGCTAGTGTTGCAAATAAGTCATCAATACGTGGCAAGGGGTACCTGACCAGCATGGATGCTTGATTTATGGTTATCGTGTAGTCACCACAAATCCGTACGGAGCCGTCCGGTTTGGTTACTGGCACAATTGGAGTTCCCCAGTCAGAAAAGTGTACAGGAGTAATAATACCTTGAGTCTGTAGGCTGTTTAGTTCCTCTTCAACTTTAGGCTTCATAGCGTATGGTAGTGTGCGCGCCTTAATGAATTTTGGTCGAGCGCCTTCCTTTAGTTTTATCGCAGCCTGAAATTCTTTCAACTTCCCAAGCTCCTCGAAAAAAACAGCTGAATGTTGTTTAAGTAATGTTGCAAGTCCGGAGATCTCGGTGACTAATTTTACCACATTCATTGTATCCGGGAAAGCACGTATCCAGTCTCTTCCAAGCAGATTTGGACGATCCCCGGGGATCACATATACAGGAAGTGTGCGTATTTTGTCGCCATACTGTGCCTTCACGAAGCATTTACCAAGGACACGTATAGGTTCACCGGTGTATGTACGAAGAACAGAATTGCAAGCGGATAAGTTCGGGAGCGTTTTTACAGCGTTTTCCCGGATTATCGTCACGGATGCTCCTGTATCGATTTCCATCTGTACCTTTTGTCCTTCAATGTAAAGCTCTAGAGTGTATGGCGCCGGCTGCATGCTAGAAACGGAATTAAGCCAAATGGATTGTAATTCAGGGTCGCTACCATCAGATTCGTCCACAGTTTTGATGGGATTTGCTCCTCGATAATCCCCACCTGAACGTCGCTTGACCGATCTACACACTCGCGCCAGGTCGCCCACCTTCCCGCAGCTTCGACATACTGTCTTCTGATGCCGGCAGTCGGATGGACAACTGTGCTGCTCACCACAACGATAGCACACAAACAAATTGACGCCAGTGGGTGGCTTTGGTTTTGGTGTAGTGTTAATCAATCGCAGCTCATCTGACGAGTCCTTCAGCGTAAATGTTGCGAGTTGTTGTGTAAGGTGTTCCCTCTGCCGGGCAATCGAGCAGGCCGTCTCCCAGGTCAGTGAACAATCATCTTGTGAAAGGAGCTTCTCCCGCGTGCTCTGGTCTGAGATTCCGGCTATCAAACATTGGAGTAACATGGTCTCTTCAAATCTCGTTGGATCGACTTCATTGTATTTACAATCAGGTGCTGCTTGTAGTACACGAGCGATGAACTCGTTCACACTCTCATCTGGTTTCTGGCAGAGTTTCGAGAAGTAGTATCTAGCCGTAAAAACATTCTGGCGAGCACCCCAAAGAGCACTGAAGGTCTCCAAAGCGCCGGTTATCGTAGAAGAGATTTGATCAATGCGAAGTGCATCGAAATACCTTTGACCCTCATCTCCAAGAAACTGTCTCAAGAGCTTCACTTTGTTTTTCTCAGTAAGAGATACTGCTGGATTCAAGATTGGAAGCAATTCCAAGTAATCCGTAAAGGTTTTCCGCTATCTATGCCACGAGTCCAGGGAAGGTTTGTCGGTAGAGCACGACCAGAAGACCGGTGGAGTATTTGTCATGGACATGTTGACCTCCGTCGCCAGATATCACAGCTGGACTCTAACCGCAAGTACGTATTTCGACTAGTAGCGAATAAGCAAGAAGACGCGTCAGTCTGGCGCACAGTTTACTGAACACTTAACGGTTTACATGAGAGCACGGAACGTTAGGTTGTGTCCTTGAGTGCGTGTGTGCGTGCTTATCTACGTGTGTGTGTAGGGCCAATCAGGTCTATGGTCATAGTGAGCGATCATTGGTTGAACACCTAACACAACGTAACTTGAAACGTTCACATTCACGGTTAACCATGTCTGCTAGTGTCCCATAATCGTCTGTATCACGCTTAACAATTTTTAGACATTGATAGCGAATGCTAAACAAAGATGTCGACTCACCAAAAATTTCTTTGAGTGTTGCCACTGCTTTGTTGAAAGTGATGTCCTTCGGCTCTTTGGGCAATATGTGGTCAAGGAATCTTGTATGTTCAATAATTCCGAGCTTGCGGAGCAAAAGACGCACTTTCCATGAATAATCTTGACGGCTGAAATCCGTCTGGAACATATCCCCCCAACGTTTGAACCACGCCTCGAAAGTGCATTCGGAATCCGCATCATAATGAAATTCAGTGATTGAATTCGTAAGAAGATCAAGTGAAACAGCCTGCGTGTCCCGTGTAGTTGCTTCGTTTGATTGTACGTTTAAGCACTGCGTTAAACTTTCAATCAGTTTCATTTGTGCTTCCATCTGGGAGTGTTGCTGAAGAATCAGCTTTTGAAAATGTTCGGTAGAAAAATTTGTAACATCACCGTGCTTGTCCGTCGCCATTGTTAGATCTTCACTTTTTTTTCGCTATTCCGAATTAACCACTCAAAAATTTCTCCGCTTAAATTCTAGCCCAGCCGAAGAAAAATCAAAATTCCAACAGTCTTGACCACGAAAAACGTGTTAACAAAAAGCTCTGCCAACGTAGCCAGATAATGCCGCCGAAAACACTGCCCTCTCAACTCTGAGGCAAAAGTTCAGTTAGCTGGGTAACCATTTTTATAGTGTTGCTCATCCCAACACTGGCACCGCAAGACCGCCGTTTCGTCCTGGTTGGGACTGATCAGTTGGAGATAGCCTGTGTTGGGCTGGAACTCAGAGCCCAGTGGCACATGGTTGAAACCATGAGCACTATGCCACTGAGATCCGCGAGCAACGCTTGGTCCAGCGGAAACGAATTCAAAGGTGGACTGGGTGGGTGTTTGAAAACGCATTCGTCTGCTCGATCGATTGCCTAATCAACCGCACGGGGTAGGCGATTCCCTTCAGCCCAGCTTTCAATCACCATTATATACTTTCCTTTTTTCTTGTATGTTTTTATCTGATTCCCGGATACTATCTACGGTATTTAATTCCTCATACATTATCTTCTTCCTTATTTCGTTGTTGGTCACGAGTATGATGATCTCTTGAGGTGATGGATTACAGTTTTCAAGCTAAAATAAATATCACACCCATACAAGGCATATTGCCACTGACTCACTAGCATATAACAGAAAACTGCCATACTGGAATGCTCCGCATGTCGGAACGTGCTGAGGCTTCATCGCCCATAATGCATGTATAAAACAGCCCTTATAAAAAGCATTTGTTAAATAGGTGATGGCTTACATGCTATTTTGCCACACTGGCACACAGCCAGTTAGAGCATGAAAGTGCGGGAGAAAGCCATCGAGGGTATACCCCGCACAGAAGCAGGTCACCTGGGACGGTTCCATAGATAGCCGTGTAACTTTAATTGAACTTTTGGTTAAATTTGCATCTGTTAATTCTCCCAGGTTCATAATCTCTTGGATACCTTCACACTGCCAATCACTTCAAAAACCCGTTTGGTATCCGTTATACAAAACATGCACCATTAACTAATTTCTGCGATCTCGTTGTACACATTGATCAGGCTACTCAGTTGGACTGTGCCTCGCATCGTCGACAAACAAACCGCTTACTTATTTGTTTATTTATATTTGTTCGCGGCTCAGGCGCTAGTCGGCACATAAGCATGTTTCAACTTCCATCTTCATTCAAATACAACAGTTGACAAACTTACGCGCAAAGTTTCAGCGACTGACATTCCTTACTGTTTACAAACACACTTTCCATGGGTTCGTATTTGTTAATTTATTGTGTAAAAGTTTGTTCAAATATATTGTTCAAATTAGGTACCTATTTAGGTTAAACTAAAAAGCGTCGGCTAGCGGCCTAATAATCTGCACACCTAGCTTGCAATCATAAAGTCACCGGTACGAAATCGCGAAGGGGCAAGCTTCCTCGCGGTATACTCACCCCACATGCAACTGGTGGTGGTCGCGCGGCAGCGAAGCGCTGTTACGGCGTACAGCTGACGATTTAGGCTAAGACAGGATATCAGCTGCAAACGTACACTCCAGTTTGCACTAAGGGATTGACAAATACTGTCATTCGCAATGGAACTTAAGCTCGAGTTGTACGCCCACTGCTAATATTATCGAACGTAATGCAAGGGAACCCGGTCGTTTTCGCCCTATTCTATTAAACTTACAGTTCAAGAAGTCGTTGTAAAAATTCATGTTATCCACGGGTTAACACATATCATTTACCAACGTATAAAACTCTACCAAATTGGAGGGATTCTGATTTTATGTAGCACAATGTGGATGCCCTCGTGCACAAGAAACACATTGATGAAAGTGAACCGGTGGAGCAAAATGGAGCAAGGCTTCAAAGTGTTTGAACACATGATGATTTACTCACCTCAAAGCACTTTAGTTCCTTGGCTTTATGCAACATTGCCTCCAGAGCGGGAAGTAAAGTCGGATATATGAAAGTCTTCGCATATTCACAAGGGTTACCTGAAGGTAGGCGAAGTACATAGTCACAGAGCACATCTGGCATTTCTAGCATGTCACATCAGCAGCGGATCGTTCTGTAATGCTTATGGAAGGCAGGAGGAAAGCCGCCCCCGAAACTTTTTAAATGGTTATTACACAGTTTTATTCGATGCACGATGAAGCCAGAATTCCCCAACGTGATCGATTAACTCTACCCAAACCCAATGTACCATTCAGTGCTCGAGCATAAACCAGTGGTCCTAATCAACCAAGCTTTATTCTGGTTAAGCCGAAATGTTACTAGACAGGTCTGAAGGTCATGGTAAAACAATCCTATAACACTTTAGTGCTTGGCCTTGTAAGAAGTTGCTGAACATTGCTATCAGGGTTGTAAACGAAGACACAATGTCTAGATGCAAGAGACCTATGTTTTGCCCGTCAAAATACAACTTTATGGAAACGTAGAGAGTTATAAATAAAGACCGACCGTTTTAATGATGCATACGAATGCCTCACAATATATCTGTACATATTACACCAAAATAGTACGGCTTGTCGTCCTTCTTGCAGTGGTACTACCGCAAAATCTAACAAAACGAAGGGATTAAATTTTCGGGTATTTGGAGCACCCGCCGTGTGTCTTGGATTGCGACACGCAATCTCATTAGTGGCGGCGGTTGACTTGGAAGTCAGCCTCTGCCAAAACGGTCACCGGGACCGTCACCGAAGTGGAGGGTTTCGGTGTGGCCCTATCATAACCCTGCACTCCAAGACCGACGGTTTCGTCTTGGTTTAGACTCATCAGGTAGAGATAGCTGAGCAAGCAGTGAAACCCGAGGCATAGTGCTTGGCGGCTATCGCCATGATCACTAGGCAATTGAGTTCCGCGAGCAGTGTTTGACACAGCGGTTAGAAGTAGATTTCCGGGTTTTTTGGAGCACCCGCTGTGTATCTTGGATTGCGAGCTGGGATTGACACAGCTGAGTTGCAGCGGTTGCAGGGCTAGGAGAGAGCCACACCGAAACCCTCCACTTCGGTGACGGTCCCAGTGACCGTTTTGGCAGAGGCTGACTTCCAAGTCAACCGCCGCCACTAATGAGATTGCGTGTCGCAATCCAAGACACACGGCGGGTGCTCCAGAAAACCCGAAAATCTTCTTCTAACCGCTGTGTCAAACACTGCTCGCGGAACTCAATTGCCTAGTGATCATGGCGATAGCCGCCAAGCACTATGCCTCGGGTTCCACTCCTAGCTCAGCTATCTCTACCTGATGAGTCTAAACCAAGACGAAACCGTCGGTCGTGGAGTGCAGGGCTAGGAGAGAGCCACACCGAAACCCTCCACTTCGGTGACGATCCCAGTGAACGATTTGAAGGAGGCTGACTACAATGTCAACCGCCGCCACTAATGAGATTGCGTGTCGCAATCCAAGACACACGGCGGGTGCTCCAAAAAACCCGAAAATCTACTTCTAACCGCTGTGTCAAACACTGCTCTCGGAACTCAATTGCCTAGTGATCATGGCGATAGCCGCCAAGCACTATGCCTCGGGTTCCACTCCTAGCTCAGCTATCTCTACCTGATGAGTCTAAACCAAGACGAAACCGTCGGTCGTGGAGTGCAGGGCTAGGAGAGAGCCACACCGAAACCCTCCACTTCGGTGACGTTCCCAGTGACCGTTTTGGCAGAGGCTGACTTCCAAGTCAACCGCCGCCACTAATGAGATTGCGTGTCGCAATCCAAGACACACGGCGGGTGCTCCAAAAATCCCGAAAATCTACTTCTAACCGCTGTGTCAAACACTGCTCGCGGAACTCAATTGCCTAGTGATCATGGCGATAGCCGCCAAGCATTATGCCTCGGGTTTTAATCCTAGCTCAGCTATCTCTACCTGATGAGTCTAAACCAAGACGAAACCGTCGGTCGTGGAGTGCAGGGTTAGGAGAGAGCCACAGCGAAACCCTCCACGAAGGGGTTAAATTATATAAAATGTTTACGTTTTCGCATGGAAGGAATAGGGGTTTCTCATTGATACGGATATATCCACTGTCGATATTGCTCTAAGTAATATCATTTATAATGATATTCTACGCTGTGTGCATGATAACGCCAAATCCGGTAAGTTGGACAGAGGAGCGTTATTCCTACATCCGCCGATGAACTTTGGAAGCTCGTGGCAAATGTTATATTTGCAACTGCCAAAACTCCAATGTAATTGCATTGACCCACCGTGTGGTCGCATTGTTTCTACGCTCCGCGCTTTCTGGGCTTACTACTCACAATATCGGTGCAGTTGACTGTGCCTACACTTCTTCAACTTGTATGTACCAGTGAATCTACCATTAGACGCTTGTTTATCAAGCATTCTCTGTTGTTCTATTGCTTATCGCAAATGTAGCGGGATTTCCGCCGAAACCCAGCGCACAGCAACCTTACTTTTCGAGTGCATACCATACTGTTTGTTCTCACCCGGAAAAGTGGCTTTAGTGATGGATAACGATTCGTGTATTACAAGAATATAACATCCGTTTTCTGGCTGTATTTCATTTAGCAGCCATCATTCTAACACTTTAAACTTGAGTGAACTAAACCACTCTGGGTTCAACGCTCAGCGTTGTTCGTCAAGTCGAGTCCCGGCCTGGTCAATGACCAAGCGTCCATTGCCTATAACAGAAAGGTGACGTCCGTCGGCTTTGTTCGTACCTGCGGTCAGACTTATAGGAGAATGTCAACTGGCATTTTGTGTCTGTCCCGACACGTGCGGTATGCGAAACGGTGAAAACCAAACGGCCATTGGAATTTACCAACGTGACAGACGCTGATCATTAGCATCGTTTCTAACAACACACCACGGAAATAGAGTACGATATGGTTCACGCAGTCGCAGGTAATAGTGCTTGGAGATTCGAACAGGTGCTCCATGACTAATGGAATTAGCATAGCTCTGTAACTGTTTTCAGTTCAGTTAAACACCATGCAAACACCATAAGCAGTTCCATTCCAAGTCTGTGCAGTTAATTTTTATGGATGTGACAGCATATCACATTAGACTATATTTGGTTCTCTAAAGCGTGTATAAGCAACCCACTCGTAAGGAACACCGCCATGCAGACACGACATGTGACCAACTGACAGGGATTATGAAACGAACGAAGGCTTGTACAGAAGCCGCTTTGAAACCAGCTGCAGCGAAACTCACTCCTGGCTGCCTCAACTTAAGATCCGCTTGGGAAAAGAGTAACCAAACCAAGCGTATAGTTAATCGCGTAGAGCCGGGTACCCCAATCACGTGAACGCTCAGAAAGTCGGACAGCCAAGGTTTATCAACCTCGGATTGATTGGCTTCTCCCTTGATTTTGCCTGTGACACATTCTTCTCAATTGCATACGGGTTTATCCACTACCGCCGACATCCTGACAACATACGCTGTATAAATCTTCTTTAAAACCAAATCAGTAGTAAAGTTGGACTTGGAGGCTCCGCTGGTGGTTGGGTTGCTACAAGCAACCTCTATTGAGACCTCGGTTCACTTGAGGTGGACCTCGGTCATTCCGATCACAAAGACCGTAAGTGCCAGTGTTGCAGTGAGCAATACTATAATGTTTCCAAATCAGTAGTAGTTCCTTACTCGCTTGCGGATAAAGTTTTGAGCCAAAGGCTTTGGTCGAGGATCCTTATCGTCTAAAATTATAGGTCCGGGTGCCCTGATAGTACCTCAGCTCCCGCACAATCTAGTGCATACCCACAAACTTTAACGGCACCTTGCAACAGCCGTTGCGAAGCTTATTAAGGCTCGCCTTATTTGCTGTCTGCGGTGGGGGGGGGCGGATAAGCGAAAAATTCCTACTGCTGGCGTGTCCCTTCTTACTTTTCCACCCGTTTTTCTTACTTCCGTCCCAACCCCTATTACTAGTCTTCCTACTATAATTCCCAGTTTAGTTGAAAGTAACCGGAACGTCACTGGAGTCATACCGTACGCAGCTATCTTTCCGCACCACCCACTGGAAACCAGTCGCCAATAGCTTCTTTAAAGGCCACACTGTCCCGTTTCCATGGCGGCGTTCAACCTTCGCACTCGGACAAATTCGTCTACAGGCCGCATTTGTACTCACGTTGCGCACATTGGTTAATAACGCGTGTTGTGCACCTAGATTTAGGGGCAATGACCCTCGAGGTGTTGCTGGATTAACTACGCCCGGATTGTCCTCTTGCAATTGATTGCACGCGTCCGGAGACGCTGATATTGCAATCACTAGTCAAGCTACTGCGGGCACCGTGCTCAGCTCCAGGGATGAGCCATCGTTGGTTGATCGGATTCCTCTGAACAGATGTTTGTGTGCAGCCCGTTTGACAACATTGACCAAGGTTGATTCACGAAGTAGTACAATGCGCTGTTTTTTGTCTTTTCCACTTAGGTTTCTACCGATTGCATTTCCGATGCTGCAAAGGAGACATCCTACCACGAAGTGAATATGCTATCAAGCAGTGTTATCAGTTCTGATATCATAGTACTTGCGGAGGACATGAATGTGCAACTAAGTCACCTGGGCTTTTCAGAAGCACAGCTAGATTGTAATTATCGACTTACCTCCGACCGTACGGATATGGGAGCGCGCCTTTTGCAAATGTGTGCGGAGCACTAGCTACTTCATAATAGCACTGCTTTCAGACACACTGGGCGCCGAAGTGTCACTTGGCGCCCTTCTGTAAAGCGATGGACTCAACTTGATCATATTGCCATAAGCTACACGTGGCGTGTTTCCATTCTGGATTGTCGCTCGTAGTGGAATACTTTCGTCGACTATGCTCTTGCCTTGGTATGCTATAGTTTCTTCCCCGATTGGCAAATGAGAAATTATCCCAGCCCCCTGTCAAGCAAGCCTACAAGGATGCCTTGCATACCGAACCTTCCCTTTCTCGTCCTAATGACATTGGAATAGGATCTTGGCCACCAAGCACGACGCATGAGCATCTGCTTGTGGGACTATCAATCTTCACCGCACCAATCACTGGATATCCGAGAGGAAGGTGAACCTGTTGAAATCCATAAGAAAGCCCAGCGAACCAAAACGGAGCCTGCGTGTTGACAAGGAAGCCTGGTGGAGCAGTCGGGCGGCGGGAGCACAAAGCAATTATTTACGGGGACAGTAACAATATTTCGCTCCGTATCAGTACAGATTTCACCAGAATCGGTCCTGTACTGCTAATCTATCGGTTTTTTCTTCATGCTGGACGTAGTCTGTGGGTGTTGGTATAGTAGATACCAACTAACTGGATCCCTCGAAGGCATTCAATCGATTGAACCATCATATTCTATTTCACATCCTTCAGCATTATGGAGTGGGTCACCCCTTTCTGGGTGGCATAGGTAAGTTTCCTGTTCAACGTCACCTGCATTTAAGGGTCCCAGGCAACCTATCCAAATCAATCGAAGTCTAGTGCGAGGTACTTCAGTGCTACAGACTCGGGGCTCATCTGTTCCTGGTCTTCACAAACGATCTTGCGAAGGTGTTACCTTAAATGTTCCTACTCTTCGCGGAGAATCTAAAACATGGAGTAATATCACCACATTGGAGAATCACACAGCCTTCCAAGATGATCTGAACAAATCATACACATGATCGATCAAAAACATGCTGCAGTTCAACGCAGCAAATTGCAAAGTTATGAGTATAGGCCATAAGAGTACTTGAACTGACTACCTATGGCCACAATTTATAAAGCGCGATTCTGACGGGTGCAATCTTGGTAGGTTCGTACATGAAGATTTAGGCTGTTTGAGAAAGACTGAAAAGACATGAAATAAAACAAACCAGCATGTTGGACTTCTGCGCAGGGCATTTGGAAGGTAAGGCGTTTCAGTCTTTCCGCAAATGCTTGACACGCACTTGTGGCCGCGCACGGAATACGCTATCCCCATAATGACAATCTTTCACAATCGCCACTTCATCGCGCTCCAAGCTGCACAAATTAGGTCAGCAAAGAAGGTTAAGCTTTGTCCCACCATGCCTACCAACTCAGGTTGATAAAGCTAGGGATTGACAGCGGCGTTTATTAGGCGATCTCATAATGGTTTATCTAATTTTTGAAACCCAACCACACTTGCCACCGTCTTTTGAAACTCAATAAAAGCACACTGTTCGGAGACCATCGGTTTAATTTGGCCGCGCTGTACAGCTGACTGGAATGTCGACGAAACGTTTTCTCCATCTGAGTTTCACATCCATGGAACTCTGTCTCGGCGCGTCATTAACTCCCCTTACAGTTTCACTACACAGAAAACGACCTGAAGACACACTGACTCATTTGTGTGGATCAGTATATCCCTCATCGAATTAGTAGTTCAAGATGATTCTCAAGTGAGTGTTCTTTGTCAGCCAGTGGCCGAGTGGTCTGCGCTCCTGAATTGCAACCATAAGTTCCCCTGTTCGAATCCGCGGAGGGGTGGGCGTCCTCGTGGTATACTCAGCCCGCGCGCGACTGGTGGTGGTCGCGCGGCAGCGAAGCGCCGTTACGGCGTAAAGCTGGCACGCTGCTGCTTTTGTTGTTGATTGCTTTATGTACGCTGGGTGGTCAAATATGCAGCTACTACACATACGATCTCAAATATGTACCGAGGACAAATCAGTTGCGACACAATACAATATGAAGCAGTTTAACGAAGGATAAACAGAAACGCCGTCATATTGAAAATCGGTGTTCAATTCTGCACAGTTAGGGTTTGACTGAACATAATTTAACCACAGAGCTACAAAAAATAGCTAGGGTTCGATTTAAAGGGGGACAATGAAACCATGCGCAGCAGTGCAGAAAGTAGGTTTGAGAGCATGAATTTAAGGTAATAATCAAACGAATTACACTGTTTTGCAAATGCCTCCGTTGGTAGATGTTTGCCGTTGCGTACTTCCAAATTCACGTGAACCACCGGAAGCCGGTTGGCATGTATTGTTTGTTCGTTGGAATATGTTGTTTTTTGCTGTTCAGTCTCTGTAACAAACAATATTTACGTATCTATGTGAGCTATCAGCATGGGTATGGAAGGAAGAAGGAAAGACTTCCATATTATACTTCGATAATAATTGATCCGTAAGGGTGGATTTATTAAGATGTCATAGTGATATAATTCACTCACTAGAACGAGAGTGATATGAATGACTTTTAGAAGAGCATGGGGATTCCTGCTTCCAACGCATTCCAGTGGAGTGAAAAGTCTGTCTATAACTTATCTGACTATGCATGACAGAGTATGATAGCGACTTTGCTACGATGAATCTTGGCCATGATGTATCTGTCCAGACCTGGCGACAATATCCTACCGTCATATGACAGATGCCGGTTCCCTTTAAAAAAAGCTGAGCGTCTCCTTTCTGGTACTGCAAATCCGACTAAGGTAAAGTTTCCATTCGGTAAAACAGCAGCCCCATGTTGAGACGAGATTCGGTAAGGCAAAATGTTTAAGAAAACTTGAATTTGACTACTAAACCGTGCACTTTACACTCCGCAAGAATTCCGGAATCTTTGTGATGCAGTTGTTGACATCGGAAGGACTTGTAGTGACCAGGATATTTCCACGGCTTGCTTGTGCAAAATACCAACTTAAATTATTAATTCATTGTTGAACTACAAGAAGAGTTCGATTGCTTGAGTCGAGCAAAGTTGTTGCTTCGCGCTCGTTTCGGTTGCAACACGCGATTGCTCTTGTGTGCTGTACTTATTCGTTCCCTTTAGCTACGGTGTCGCGTGTTTTAGTTAGGTCAACATAAAAAAGTTTAAGTGTACAAAATAAAAGCTTGCTTGCAACTTAAACTGCCTTCTGGGATCGCTATCTGGGCTACAGCCAAAAGGACGGAAGCATATCGCCGAAATCATACTATTAATTTCAACAGCTTTACTATCCTAATTACTAAAACCATTGTGCGGCAGCCAAAAATCCAGTCGAAAGGTAGCTGCAAAAACAGCTCAGTGAGATTTGTTTCTAATGCACGAATCTCGCCTTACAAATTTCAAAAGAGTAAGAAGGAAAGGATTTTAACACGATAAGTTGAATGCAGATATTTCCAGTGTTCTCATCAGCTGTGTACACAAATTCGTGAAATTATCCAATCGCGTGCAAAAGGAAAGCAATGTACAAGGTAATTCATTTCAGAGGAAGTCGATCAATAACCTCACCGAGGTAAGGCGAAGCTGACCGTAAGTTCAGTCTGCTTGCAATAAATTGGGCTTAAGCCGCTGAGGCTTCGGCAAACTGAAGCAATCGGGCATTCCTCTGTAGGATAATTACTTTAAACGAATCACGAGGACGTTGGTACGTAGTGCAATCTAGGATGTGTTGAGCAATAGAGCTAGCCGGCATTTTGGGAGCGTTAACGACCATGTTTCTTGGAATGTGCTCTGAGATCAAAATGGATAGCCTCCTCTCAGTTTGGCCAACGTACTTGCTACCACAAGTACAGTGGAACAGATAAACACAAGATGCGGTAACTTGAGGCTGTGGCTTGTCTAGATTGGATTTACAGAGCAACTTCTGAACTTAGTGCAACAACACCAGTTCGGCCGCGTAATAACATTTTCCTACTGCCTGGCGGAGGCGATGCCCGAATCTTCTATCATTTTAGGCCCCCTTAAAAGGCAGCGTAATGAACACCTTTTCCTTGGGGATACTTATCAAACTTTCCTCACTACTTTCTTCGCTCGCATACCGAGTTATGAATCTCGCGGGGTATCCATTTTCCTGCAGTGCTAATGGCAGGCGTCTTAGGTCACTTTCGATGGTATCTTCAGAACAAATTTGGCGAGCTCTTGCGAAGGCAGATCAGACCAATGCTCGTGTAGAATTTATAGGACAGAAACTGTTGAACTTCAGATATTGTCCTGTCCAAGTAGGCTATCGATGCACAGATCGAGTGAATGCACATTCTGCATTCCTCTTCAGGTGTACGTATAGGAAGTGGAAGGTATTGTTTACCTCCCTTTGCATTGTGAATTTGACCGCAGGGTGGTAGTTATTTAGAACTACGAATAAGCGCTCTGCCTGCTGAGCGTTATCAGCTACAGCGAACGTGTCGTCTAGGTATCTACTGTACAGATGCACCCTTTGTATGTAAGGCCGTAGTATCGTGTGCTCCAAGTGGCCCATGAAAATATCAGCCAGAACTAGCCCAAATGGACTTCCCATGGCTACGCCATCGATCTGACGGTATATTGTTCCGTTCGAGCAATTGTCCAGTTGGCACCAGTCACCGAGGACGTATGCCGCTGTTTTAAGGCAGGGATGTCCAAACTTTTTGCAAGGACGGTCTCATTTTGTGTGGCAAAATTATGTCGGGTCATATTCTGTCTGACTTTAAGGTAATAAAAATATTACACATGTTCAAAAAAGTCCAAGCCGAATTTATTATGTTCTGATGAGGCCGCGGGCCAGTTGAAATATTAGCGCGGACCGCATTTGCGTCGCTGGTCGGGCTTTGGACGTCCCTGTTTAAGGCTAAGGCAGTGAATTTGCTAAACAGTTTTGCTTGGCTGAAACTGAAATATGCAGCATTTTAACAAAAGAACATCGAATCATTGCAAAATCTACGCCAAAAAGAGAACGTGGTAATGACGTAAGATGACAAGGTATCGGGAGTGGTCATTATAGATAAACGGGGTTATGTTAGAAAAATACAGGCCATTCTTGTAGACATTAGCCGCTTCGTTCAGGACCTATTGGGTCGCGATAGAACCGAACACGTTGAAAGATCCATAGTTCGTGAACTAAAACAGGTACTGAAGGCTAGATTGATTGATGCGAAAACCATGACACAACTGCGTCCGCTTGGGGCACAACTTCACCAAATGTATGGCTTGCCGAAGACACGCAAGGAGAGAATTTCTATGCGTCCAATCCTATCAATGGTAAACAGGCCGTAACATAAATTGGCATGTTGGCTGACCGAACTGATCGAACCTATCCGATGTGAGGTAGTCGGGTTTACCCACAAAGCTATGTTTGAGTCTGACGATAAAATACGGGGTTTAAACCTAGATAGAAAATACATGGCCTCTTATGATGTATGCTCAATTTTCACCAAAGTCCATTGGAAGAGACGTTAGACATTATCGCTGACCACGCTGAGAAAGTTGGGTTTGCAGCACATCATCTCAAGTCTTTACTTCTTTTGTGCATCAGTGACACAGTTCCAATTCAACGGAACCATATTTCGTCAGATGGATGGCGTAGCCATGGGAAGTCCATTTGGGCCAGTTCTGGCTGATATTTTCATGGGCCACTTGGAGCACACGAAACTACGGCCTTACATACAAAGGGTGCACCTGTACAATAGATACCTAGACGACACGTTCGCTGTAGCTGATAACGCTCAGCAGGCAGAGCGCTTATTCGTAGTTCTTAATAACTACCACCCTGCGGTCAAATTCGCAATGCAAAGCGAGGTAAACAATACGTTCCACTTCCTCTACGTACACCTGAAGAGGAATGCAGAATGTGCAGTCACTCGATCTGTGTATCGATAGCCTACTTGGACAGGACAATATTTGAAGTTCAACAGTTTATGTCCTATAAATTATACACGAGCATTGGTCTGATCTGCCTTCGCAAGAGCTCGCCAAATTTGTTCTGAAGATACCATCGAAAGTGAACTAAGACGCCTGCCATTAGCACTGCAGGAAAATGGATACCCCGCGGGATTCATTCCTCGGTATGTCAGCGAAGAAAGTAGGAAGAAAAGTTTGAAAAGTATCCCCAAGGAAAAGGTGTTCATTACGCTGACTTTTAAGGGGGCTAAAATGATAGAAGATTCGGGCATCGCCTCTGCCAGGCAGTAGGAAAATGTTATTACGCGGCCGGACTGGTGTTGTTGCACCAAGCTAGGAAGTTGCTTTGTAAATCCAATCTGGACAAACCACAGCCTCATGTTACCGCATCTTGTGTTTATCTGTTCCACTGTACTTGTGGTAGCAAGTACGTTGGCCAAACTGAGAGGAGGCTATCCATTTGGATCTCAGAGCACATTCCAAGAAATATGGTCGTTAACGCTCCCAAAATGCCGGATAGCTCTATTGCTCAACACATCCTAGATTGCACTACGTACCAACGTCCTCGTGATTCGTTTAAAGTAATTATCCTACAGAGGAATGCCCGATTGCTTCAGTTTGCCGAAGCCTCAGCGGCTTAAGCCCAATTTATTGCAAGCAGACTGAACTTACGGCCAGCTTCGCCTTACCTCGGTGAGGTTAATGATCGATTTCCTTTGAATTGAAACATCTGGTACATTACTTTCCTTTTGTGCGTAATGAGATAACTTTACGAATTTGTGTACACAGCTGATGAGAACACTCGAAATATGTGCACGCAACTTTTCCTGTTGAAATGAATTTTCTTTTTACTCTTTTGCAATCTGGATTTTGTCGAGGGTAGGTTTCTGTAATACTTTTGTTTTTATATGCGATAAAATTGAAACATATTATTGTTGCTTTTGCTTGGCTTGGCATTTGCGTTAAAGTAGCAGTGCCTATGCCTTTGAGTCAGCTGCGATTGTAACAGTTTAATAAAGTCTGTTGGAGCATCGACGATCAGTGCTTGAAACCTTATCAGGTGTTGTATCGCTTATTAAAATAACTCGGTTTGTATCAAGGTATATTTTGTCGGCGTCCAACACAAAGTGCATATAAGGTCCAATTACGTTCCCCTTCTCGCAGATGATCAGTTATAAATTATCTGCCATACATACCGGCGAATTTCCTAAGAACTCACCGCACTCACAGCCTTATGAGATTCACTAAAATTGTATTTGAAATTGCTGCAGAACGGTGCGCCGTTTGGCGTTCTCACGACGACTTGATATGCCAACTTTTTAAGAGTGCATTTAATAATCCAGAGTTTATCAGTGTTTATTGATTTCAGTGATATCCTTTGGATGGCTCTGTGACAATTCACTTCTATTAAATTCCTATCTCTCAGCTGCGCACCGCAAAACCCAAGTAACGAAAATCTAACTTAGTTGTTTCCGGTGATGTGATGGTATATAGTGAACTTACCTTGCATAATATGCTACGCGCTGATATTTGTAGTGAAATGGTCCGAGTGAATATTATGCTATTTCCAGTGGCTGTAAAGGGAGAAAAACAACATCCCTGATGACCCCATCGAACATTCAACACTAGAAATCACACAATGAAGTCGGATATGATCATCCTGAGGCCACATATTGGTCAGTGGTCATTAGATGGTTGTAAAACAGAGTGCGAAACCAAAAAATTAAGCAAAATGAAAATACAACATGTTACTGTATGTAGTTGGAGCTAGGTTTTGCATACATCATGCTTCTTCAGCGCAGTTAGGTCACACCGAGTTACAAGTGAAGTAGATTTTTTCAACTTAAAGGAAATTTATTCCACTTTATTTAATTTGCTAAGTTCTATCATTCTACTGCATATTCCATGTTTATTATGCGCATTTAATTTCCTACAAACTTTTTGTTCCTCGTTTGTTATCCGTCATGTGGCTGCGCTTGATGTGAATGGTGCTCAGGCGCCTACCTGTCTGACACCCTCCACCTCGATCACTCACGCCAGGAAAGTGTGAATCATTGCTGGGGTGAAGGGGTACACGGTCCTCGTGGCTATGCTAGGCTCATAGAGCGCTTCCATCTAGTGTGGAGCGGGCAACGGGCTACGGCCTAGTCAAAAAATTGTGTACGTCTGGAACGCATAATTCCTAATACAAATAGACAGGGATGCTGCCGCTGTGCATGTTGAAGGAGTGTGAGCCGGCGCCGTTGATGATGATGTCTCCCGGTCATAATCCTTCGGGTTCACACTGGACAAGGGCTGTGTGGTTGGCGCTGTGGATAATGCAGCGCAGGCCAGTAATGGTCAATATGTAGGCGCAAGCTGTCCTATCTAGGTAACTTCAGAACAGGTTGACTCCAACCAGCTGAGGAAGAAGAGTCAAAGGAACTGACAATACGAACGTCAAGGAGGGCATTCGGTGCCCATAACAATAAGTGACTCCCTTCAAACGCGTTTATTTTCTTTCGGACTGTAACCAGGGAGTCGGGGAGGATGTCAACAGGCAAAGTGACATTCAAATTAGCAGCCATTTTGCTGTGGACCAGGTCATCGGTTGACCTCTGCTCCTTCTGCTTCTTCTATACCAGGTAGCGCAAATAACCCACGTTGTGAGAGTCGGTGTCCAGCATGCTTAGCACATGGATCAGCCAACGGAGTCTGGTTGCGTGACGCAATAGTACTGAGTGGCTCACTTGCTTATCCTGCGGCAACATCAATGCAATAAATATAATCAGCTTTCACACTGTGTTCACCAGATATGAGCCAAATAGCAAATACTACGGTGGTCGAACGCAACAAGTCTTCCAAGCGAATAGACCAATATTCGCAAATGTACGGCAGCGTCCAATGGACGACCACATTGTAGACTATACCAGTTAGCGTGAGCGCTATCTCGCACTAGTGCCGTAAATGGTGACGTTGGGCACACGCGCGTTTGGGTTTTGGGATACGGTTTCTACCTTCATCACCGGTTTGTCCATGCAGTTGCATAACTGAGTGGCAAATAGCTAATTCCGATTGCACTACTTCGACTGCGGTATTGCTGCTTACGGTTTGCTCTGCCTGGCTTCCAACCCAACCGTGAAACCAAAAGCCAAGCTTCGGTATACGGTGTGTATCTAGAGAAACTGACCGCCCTATTTATAGATCAACGTGCATTCTAAATATGGAAACCGTGACACCAACAACTTCGACGTCCTGGCTGCAAACAATTGCACGTATTGAACCTCATTGCTTTGTCTCGATCTACCCTATTTGACATTCCCAGACAGTTTTTGCCGGTAGATAACACACCCGTATACCGGCGTGCCGCTTACGCAACACGATATCTGAAATATCGATTGTTTAAAGTCACATAATTTCCCTGACGATGAGCACCACAGGAATCCCGAGGATGCTGCAGTGATCAGGCGATTCCCCGTAAAATTGCTGTATGTGACCTAGAATATTACAAAATGGTAGTTCCATGTTGCACCCAGGACAATTTGGCAGTATATGTCGGTCGCATGTTGATTACTTCTGTTTATATACACGCACAAAACCGGAACGCGAACAGAACGCTATGTCCGACGACCCCGGAAGATACTTTCGCTTTTCCTCTCTAGGTAGCTTTTCTTAAGTGCCCATCAACCAAGCAAGATGTTACGTTTCAACAATAAACTTTTACCTCGTTTATTTTTATTTGCTTTTGCACTTTTCTATACTGTTGGTATATTATGCCAAAATATCGTTCTATTATCGATCGCGCTATAGAACTATACCCATGGAGTTAAATTTTTCTGGTGCTTTAGGCCTCCGCGTAACACGGAGCTGGAACGACAAAATGGGCTATTACTGTGAGTTTTAATCTGAAACTACAATGGTTACCTTTATAGCGTAACGCAAAGGGAGTCAACGTACAAAAATCTGCTTGTTCCTAAGAAAGAACAATAGCAAGCGTTATAAAGTTTATTTAGATAGCCTGTGTACAGGATTGCCAAGCTACGCCTAAGAGGGCCTGGAAACACCAGGCTAGCTATTGGATACAGCAACTAAGAAAATGTGAGCATTTAGGATGGTTAAAGATCAATATGCTAGTTTAAGTGCAATTGCATTACTGATCAGTTGTACACTATTCGTTCGTGTTTTACTGCCCCTTATTCTTAGCCATATTTGCCTACATCCGGATCATCACATTTCCGGTTGATAAACACAACTTACAGACACATTCTCATTACTGGTGATTTCAACATCCACGCTCTGGAATCCCAATCACTTCCCTGAGAACAGTTTAAGGCCGATCTACAGAGGCTTGTCTCCAGTTATCCGCTGTATGCCCACAACAACACTCCCACCCGATTACGAGAAATAGATAAGCCTTCGATACTGGATCGGATATTCACCAGCGAAGAACTAATGGACGAGAGGGTAATCGTCGACGTCCCTTGGGTCGCACCGATCATGTAGTCCTAATCTTGGAATACATCTCCTATGCAGAATATCCCGTGAAAATTGCGGAGGCAACAAAAACGATCATGCGCTATGACATATTAGCTCGACTAGGTGAGACAGACAACTGGTGCGTTCTGGCAGACGAGGTACCAGTTACTGCATGGGAATCTTTCCTCAGCCCGTTTAAATCGCTGGTTGCCGAAAGGTCAGTGACTAAGATCGTCCGCCCGAGAAACTTGGTTTCGTCTCTGCAAAGCAGGACACGCAAGTGTATAGCGGTGCGAAACTCAGCCTGACCTATCTACAAACTCTCCACGAGCACCGAGAACTGGATGGCCGATGCGATTCAACGCAACCACTGTACTCAGCTTGTTCGCGAGGACAGAATGGCGTATCAGCAGTAGTTGACATTGCGTTTGATCTTAAATCACAAGATTCTGTATCAAAAAGTCAACAGTCCACGTAAGAGGGAACGGGGAATTCCTTCTCTTCAAACAGCGAACAGACCCACGCGGACTCCGAAGGAGGCGACGAATACCATGCGCCTACAATATGCTGCAATATTTTAGTGCAATCAATGGATGGACGGCGTCCAGAACTGTCGCTCGATTTGGAGCACAGGTGTAGACACTGAACATTCACTTGTATGTGCTGACCTGCGGATGCGTTTTGGCGGACGCCCAAGACGATGTTGTGAGCGCATTGACACCAGCCAACTGGCAAAACCAGCTGTTTTGAATGCCTACCAAAGTACGCTGTCATGCGCGTTGAGTAAGCGCTCACTGGATGCAGTTAAAGCTCACTGGTCTCATATTCACCAGTCCTTACTAGCAGCAGGAAAATCCTCATGTGGTATGTCTAATCGCCAACGTGGACATTGGGACTCTTCTCAGTCTCTGGAACTTATCGATGCTCGCCGGCATATTCCGGCTGGAAGCGAACACAATGAAACTCGCAAAGGTCTCCGGGAAAAACTCCGTACTAGCCTGAAGAGAGACCACAAATCCTGGTGATCTCATCGTGCTTCAGAGATGGAAATGGCCGCTGGCCTTGGTAACCATCGTAAATTATTCCGTCTGATACGCGAAACGGGTAGCAGGAGACCTGGTGTTAGTGAAACAATTTGTGACGAGAGTGGACAGCCTATCCACAACTTGTGTCGGCCGGTGGCCGAGTGGTCTGCACGTTTGCTTTGCAACCATAAGGTCACCGATTCGAATCCTTGTAGGGGTGGGCGTCCTCGCGGTATACTCAGCCCGCGCGCGACTGGTGGCGATCGCGCGGCAGCGAAGCGCCGTTACGGCGTACAGCTGACGCATTCTTTCTTTCTTTTCTTTTTTATCCACAACTTGTCATAACGCTGGGAGTGTTGGGCTGAGCACTCTGAAAGGCAATTTAATTGGCCGGAATTTTAGATTTCTCACCGGCCACTGATCGCCCCGCCCCCAGGCTGTCCTTTTGGATCCACCCTCTCGCTCAGAAGTCGAACGAGAGGTCGCACTGTTTAAGTTAAGTAAAGCCGTGGGACCAGATGATCTACCTCCAGCCCTCTTCAAATTCGGGGGACTTGCTCTTGTGGATGATTTATACGAGTTACTAATGAAACTGTGGGAGCAGAAAACTGTCCCAACCGACTGGAGCTGCTCCGTCATAGTCCCAATTTTCAATGGAGGCTCATGAGTGGAATGCGGCAACCATAGGGGAATCTATATGGTCTCCATCGCCTCCAAATTGGTTGCCTCTGTCATCCTTCACAGACTGACTGGCACTCGTGAAAGCCATATTCGTGAAGAGCAAGCCGGGTTTCGTCCAGGTCGTGACTGCATTGACTATATCTTCACCTTGCGTCAGTTGTTGGAGCACCGTCACACATATTGGCGGCCCTCCCTTGTCGTGTTCCTCGATATCAAAGGTGCATTCGATTCGGTGGACAGATGTGCAGTTTGAGACTGTCTACTCAGGAAAGGTGTACCTGAGAAATATTTAAATATTATCCGATCATTATACTCGCGTAGCTCAGGCAGCGTGAGGGCTAACGGCAAGCTGTCGTCGCCCTCTATATCTCCAGTGGTGCGAGATAAGGATGCTTCTGTCACCTTTCCTCTTC